AAGGCCACCTGCTGCTTGCTGTTGAAAGTGTCGATGTGATTGGCCCGAAGCCGAATCACCTTGATCTGCCCATCTTGTACCACGACGTCATCTTCGAACGCCCTGCCCGTCGGCGTTGAGAGGAACTCCTGGAGAGCGGTCAAGAACGTGCTGCCGGTCACCAGGTGGCTGGTGCAGGTTGTGACGGCTGAGGGCAAACCTGCCTGGCAGCCGGTTCGGTTGGTCTCGACTGCCGTGAAGGCACTGTCTGGCAGGGATGCCAGGACACCCTTGTTCTGCAAGGCCCAAAGCGTAAAGATGGTGTGCCACGACTGAAGCCCGCGAACAGAGTTGACGTTGCTGAGTGCCATGAGCTCGGCGCCGGCCTCTTCCAGATGCCGCTGCACTGCCAGGGAGCTGAAGTCCTGGTCTGCCACGTACAAGGCCGCCGGCAAGGCCAAGCCACCTGTTGAGAGGCCACCAAAGTGGAGATTCTCCTCGTTGTAGAAATCCCGCAGGTAGCTTTTGTCGGGCGACAGGTCCATGATGTCAAAGTCCGTGCTGAGGCCCAGGCTCACTTGCCAGGCAGACACTGCAGCCACCACGAGAAACAAGACGATGGTAGCGAAGGAGATGGCCGGGTGGCTGGTCAGGAATTTGATCATTGCCACGAGGACCCTTTCAAGCGGCGCCGAACCCTCCGAGATCTTCTTGCTGGGCATGCACGACGATCGGGCTCCAACACAGAAGCAAGGGTCCAGGCGAGGGGGGTCTGCGCTGGCACGCCTTGCGTCGAGGGCCAGCAGGGCACAGAAGGTGGTGCAGTGAAGAATCCAGATGAAGAAGCAGGACACAGAGGCGTAGAAACAGAAATACTGGACGGAAGGGAACACGCAGGTGGCCCCCAGCAAGAACGAGGAGATGGACGTCACTTTCGTCAAAGTGATGGAGACTCCCACGCGTTGCATGGCTTTCTCGATCCGATCTGGGATGCTCAGGGAAGGGTCGACAGCATCGAAAGCACCGGAGATAACGAAAGCGTCGTCGATACCAATGCCCACCAGAATAAAAGGGAGGATCTGCTGTAGCACGGT